CTCAGCACAGCGCCATCCTTCTTACACCCAGAAATAAGACACGGAAAGGGAAATATCTTCCCGGTAATGCAGATAGCTTCGCGCAAATTTCCAAGAAGGATGCATGTTTCTGTGTCATAACTCTAATGGTAGAGTTAACTGTTACCCGAAGCATAACCTCGACGCTAACTGTAACTTTCTTCTAACTTTAGTATTAGCCCCAGTCGCCTTTTAAATTAACGCCAGACAACCGGAATAGGCAGCATTCTAAGTTCAACGTCTTGCACGGATTACGTACCTTACGGATCAGTTGCTGATGTAAATAACTACCTGATCAAAATTATACTTCTCAACTTTTAAAAAGTCAGAATTCCGGGGTAAGAATAAGAGTTCATCTTCTGCTCACCGGAATAAATTTGTAGATTTGCTGACGTTTCGGACAGCTGGGCCGGCTGTCCTTTGTCGAAGCGAATACTGACTTTATCGATCAGCAAGTTTAAAGTTGCGACTGTACGTGCTAGCCTTGGGCTGATCAATTTTTCTCCGGTCGCTGTTTGGCCATGCGTGTGGAGTTAGGCTTGGCGTGACGGCAGTTCGTTTTTTGTTTCGTCCCCACGGTAGAGGATGCTGGTAATCCTGCTCCCTCTTCCGGTGGTTTCGTCATAGTGCCGTCTTCGTTTGCAAGTCCTGACTTCGGTTTTACCGTCTCCTGTCCTTTACTTGCGTAATGGCGTAGGACTTTGTAGGCTGCAGGGAGGTCCAGCTGTCTGTTGGTAGAGTTGGCGTCTGAGTACCATGTCTCGAGCGTCAATCTTTCAGATTTGGGGTTCCTCGGTCTACGATAGTCGTTCCTTGAATATCGAAGTCGTGGCCAGTCTCTCCGATATGTGTTGCAAGCTGTGAGTTAGGATCTAGTCTCCGGGCCGCCGCTTTGTGTTCCCGTTACAACCCAATGGAGTAGGCAAAGCCCATCGACCTCAGGCGACAATACGTCCCAGAGTAATGCAACCCAAAGACGCACTGATCTCCACTGAAACCTCCGCAGTTGTCCAAAAAAATACGTTGCAACGATGGAGACTGTAATTATGTTGGAGAAACAGGGGGAAAATTTCATACCCGCCTACAGGAACACAAAGCGGTGACCCGGAGACCAGATCCTAACTTACAGCTTGCAACACATATCGGAAAGACTGGCCACAACTTTGATATTCAAGAAACGACAATCGGAGGCCGATAAGCCTCAAAAGCTGAAAGATTGACGCGTGAGGCATAGCACTTAGACGCCAACTCTACAAACAGACAGCTGGACCTCCCTGCAGCCTACAAAGTCCTACGCCATTACGCAAGTAAAGGACAGGAGACGGTAAAACCGAAGTCAGGACTTGCAAACGAAGACGGCACTATGACGAAACCACCGGAAGAGGGAGCAGGATTACCAGCATCCTCTACCGTGGGGACGAAACAAAAAACGAACTGCCGTCACGCCAAGCCTAACTCCACACGCATGGCCAAACAGCGACCGGAGAAAAATTGATCAGCCCAAGGCTAGCACGTACAGTCGCAACTTTAAACTTGCTGATCGATAAAGTCAGTATTCGCTTCGACAAAGGACAGCCGGCCCAGCTGTCCGAAACGTCAGCAAATCTACAAATTTATTTCGGTGAGCCGAAGATGAACTCTTAAGTTATACTTCTTGGTAAACACTTTTTTAAACTGGCTGTTGTGTATGTGGACTGACGGCCAACCAATGGTTTTCGGAAATAATGCGAGAAAAGATAAATTTTGGCTTGGCAACAGATATTCTTTCAACCAAGAAGCTCTTCTGTATGGCTCCTTACAAAGGAACTTTTCCTAAAATATATCCAGAAGGAGTAATTAAAACGTCAACCTTACTATAAAATTGAAGAAAAAAAGAGATCCACTCTCCAAGGAAAACCACTCGTTGACTCATCACTCTCCCTCAACGCTAGGAGAGCGCTCTTTTTTCAAAAGTGCATGCACACACAGTCTCAATCAGGAACAGTGTAATTCGTTATCTGCAGTCCAAAGATGTGTATATGTTGTGATAAAAAAGAGCATTTGAAAACTTCATCGAACCTGAGATGCCCTCCATGTCCGCAACTGAAGGAATTAGGTCGTTGATGCTCGAAAAGTGACGCCTACATCAAAAACTGCACACTCGGGGCAATATTTGGCCCAATTGAATTTATAGTCCACTGCTATGTTGGGATACACGGCGGCGTTGCTCCCTGCTCGTTATTTCGGTCCGACAATCGCTACAGGCAATGTCCATACTGTGTCCCGTGGCATGGTCGGCTCCAATTCCCCACACCAGTCCACTGACCGGCTCGGATGGTAATTGGGGCCTGGAACTAGGAATAACTTGTGAGGTCAACTATAAACAATCTGACGTGCCTGAAGCTATCACAGTACGTTAAAAAGCCATGGCTTGGAAGGTTGCTAACTGACGAGATAACGCCTACTTCTCAGGCAACCCAGTGTGTCGCACTGGCGGACTGCAATGTCTCCTGCTTAATGCGACCTCTATGGCACTCCCACTCCGTGGGAACCAAATCGGGGGTGGCGCCACGCTTAGAGGCGGTGCAAGCCGTCTGCGTTCGCGCTTCCGATCTCCTTGCCCTCGTCATGACACAGGATCCAGGTAGGAGAGGAGGATGCGAAAATGCCGTAGACGTAGCGAGCGTCTACAGTCACTATACTTTACTTCATCCTTAAGTCACCGCGCTTGCCTCCAGTTTTTTTGTGAAGCACGCCATGGGCGTGGTAGAAAAACCTACGGTAGTAATAGCAGACTTGCGTAGCATCTGCCGCACTCCCAACTTCCTCACCATTCTTAGCGCAGTAGCACGCCTGTGACAGGACGATTGAAGTCAGTGGCTGACAAAGCTCAATAGCCAGCCTACGTGGTACCACGCAGATTAACCTGGTTCCTACACAACGCACCAGGTTTCCACGAAAAGGCGGAGGGCGGCTGGGACTTCACATGCGCCCGCGATTGCCACAGAGGTCACATTAAGAAGAAGAAGAAGAAGAAGAAGAAGAAGAAGAAGAAGAAGGAAAAAGAAG